AGTCACCTGATTTTTTCAGGTCCTGAGACGATTGCTTAAATTGTCCAGCTAAGTGCGAAGATCATATCTCATTTAATTTCAAAACACCGCACTGCATAAAACATTCATAAATTACATAACTTGTACAAAAGGCTAAGTCAGAGGTCTTATTGCACACATTTCATGCAAGAAACGTGTTGAGTTTAAGATTTAAGAAGCAGTATAACAAATAAACTTATAGCTACTAAAAATCTAAACTCACCAAATGTTTCCTGTCTTTTAAAAAGGTAAATATTGAATTGAAGGACTAAAGTCAAGTGGAATTAATACGATTTTCTGTAGACAGATCTCCACTAGACGATTTTTATGACGATCGTCTTAAAAATTTTCTGCGCCACATGTGTAGCACGATTAAAATAGTGTCAGCAAAATCGTCAACAAATGTGAAGCGCTAAACAAAAAGTACAAATGCTTTTAAGTACGCATGTGGCGCAGTGAGTTTTTGAGACGATTCTCATAAAAATTGTGTAATGGAGATCCTTTTTATCAGCTTGACATAGTATGTTGTGTATATATATCTTTAAATTACTTTTTTCGTCAAATTTATTTCGCTAATAAAGAGTGAAAACTTCCAGAACATTAATATCAGACAATATAATTGAAATATCAAGTGATGGAAAAGCCCTGCCCCTCCTCCCTCTTCGTGACATCGGCAAATTTGGTGTTTCAAGCATTAAGTTGTATATGAACTATATTGCTGCATTCGTAGTACTATTCTAAATTTCCTTCCTTACACTTTTTCTGAATCTCACAACCGTCCTCAGGTTTCTCTCGTCAATCGCTTAAGGAGCTCTCAGTGTTATTTTCTTATATATCTGCAATCCATGATTGATTTCATTTTTGGGACACTAACTATGGCGTTAACTTTTTGGCCAATCTTACAAGCAGTTTCTGTCTTAGATGTCAACTGTACGTTGTACCACATCGAAAGGATTGTTCACTATATACAGATTGGTTCATCTGTGTCTGTGTTATCCTGTATGATCATAGAAAGTTTTTTTTTGCATTGTACATCCAATTTTTATCGTGCAATAGTATCAAAGAATAAGTTAATGATTTACGTCTTTACAGGCTCCTTTGTGTCTTTGTTTGTTTGCGTTGTTGCAAATCTCATTGAATCGATTTCAATATTAAGAAAGTATTTCGCTTATATATAAATTCTACATTTCATTAGAACTGTTATAGTGTACGTCAAGATATATTTTGCAGCAAGAAAATCAATTCTGCAAATTGATAAAACGGATAATAAAATGTTTCCCATGATATTCCACGAAGAGAGCAATGAAGCAAGCACATCCCAGGAAATCATAAGCAAAAGCTCATCTCATATAGAGAAACAACGCTGCAATAAAAAGAACACGGGTAAAAAACTTTCAGCAAAAATCAACGAAGCAGCAGTTAAAATAGGAGAAACCTCGGGTGAGTTTATAAATAAAAATATACCAAATCATTCCATTCAGTCAAGTACAAGAATCGCAAATTGAAGCATGTGCCGTAAAATTTCAAGAGAAAACTTTACAATAAAAGAAAATTTTTAGAGATAAGTCTTAAGAAGTATCCTAAACTCAAAAGCAGGTGAACTTTTAAAGTAAAGTGCACTTAACTATTTTAGTAAATTTTATTTAAATTATTTTAAGGATAAGATATTGCAACACACAAATAAATCTTTGTCTTCCTGACGTCATTGCTCCTATTTTCACTGTACTATTATTAAACTTTCAATTAAAAATGAAAGATAATGGTTCTAAACAGCGCTTCATAGCGGAAGGTCGGATCTCTTTCATCCGCTGTTCTCTTTATTTTCTTTGATAATCTTTTTACAGTTGTTTTAATACAGGATTTGCAACCGTTGAAATGGGTTCTAACGTAGATATCTAAATTATATATGTACATTTTAGCATGACTTCATTTAACTGTCGTCATACTATTAAAAAGCAAAAAACAAAAAAACAACTATTTCACCTCCTGCACCAGGTGCTCTAGCTGTAATCTAGGTGCCAAAGAGTGGTTTGTTTGAAGCAGGAAAATCAAATATGCTAACACGATTATGGGGATCATGCATGCATTGATTTTCTATGGATAAAATGTGTAGATCACTCAGTTTGAAAAAAATGCTTGTAAGATGCCAAATTAAAGTTTTGAAAATCAATATATATTATATGTCTTACTAAAAGACCCGAGCTCGCTACATGTTTTATGTCTTACACACACACAAAAGAAAATTTGCAATAAAAGAATAAGCTATAATTGTAAAAATTCTGTTTTTAACAAGAGTAAGTTATGTTTATTTTGTGGGAAATATTACGTTATGTATATGTATTGTTTTACTTTTAGAAAAGGATAAGGGATGCTTGTAAAAAGCATTGTGTGCATATGTGCACAACAAGTATCAGGAAAATATTTATTCAAGGACAAACCTCATTAGTATCATGCATTTATTGATGAAAAATGATAATAGCTATCATAAAATCAAGATCTTGAATGATTTCTACAAATATTAGAGCAATTGCAATGTCATCCAAAAGCATTTGGCTGAGTGGAAGACGCCTAATTATTTAGCAGTTGAATTGATTACAATTAAACAAAGATTTGTGCATTTATGAATTCAAACTAAAGCTACATCAATTATGAAATAGCGAATATGCAATTTTTTACATTGTAAGGTGACTGAAAATTTTATTATACATGCAAATTTTTCGATTGAAATAAAGAAAAGATAGTGACTTGTTTTTCTCTATTATTTGGTTATAAAAGGTTTGAAGTTGATATCTCTAAATTTTGTTATTGTATGAATTGGCATTTTTCCATTAAAAGAAGCTTGTGGAATACTGATATCGGAATAGAACAATACAACTATATAATAATGAATTTTTCTTCGAATGAATTTTCTCATCTTTGCCGGGTATTTGACGCTGTGATTCCCGCTCTTTCTTCCATTTCAAAGGTGGAGGTGAAAATAAACTACATAGTTATAATCGTGTTACAGCTATTTATTTTGTTCCTAACACTTTTCTTTAATCTCATTGCCATCTTGACATTTATGTCATCGAAGCGTTTGAGGAGTTCTCTTTGTTATTTTCTTATATTCCTCCAATCAGTAGTTGATGTTACTATTGGAACATCGGTTATATTACTAAGCATTTTGCAAATCTTACCAGAATTTTCAATCTTAGATGTTGACTGTAGGGTACCACACGTGTTTATGATCAGCTTATTTCTGTTCCTTGGCTGTTCGGTTTCCGTGCTGTCCTGTATGAATATCGAAAGGTTTCTAGGCATCGTACATCCAATCTATCATCGAACAAGAGTAACAAAAAATAAGTTAATAGCCTATGTCTTTACAGGTTGTTTTATCTCTTTATTGATGTGCATAATTGCACATATAGTCGAAGCAATTTCAATGATACAAACATTTTTCGCTGGTGTATCTATCTTGCATTTCCTTGGAATTGTTTGGGTGTATGTAAAGATTTATTATGTGGCAAGAAAATCACTTTCACAACGATACAGTCCAAAGATCAGTGCAGAACATAAAATAACAGCTGCGAATATCCATGTAAAAGATTCAAGCAAAGAGGGATGTACGTCCAAACAATCAACTGACAATAATGAATCTCTAATGGGAAATCGAAGCAGTAAGTTGAAAATATCCCGGGAAGATATTGCAAGGAAAATTAACAATAGAGCATTTGAAGTGGAAGTAAAATCTCAATGTGATGCGACTCCAAGTAAAAGTCTATCATTTCAGCCCAATTCCATAATTCCGAGCTCAACACACGAGAAACGTGGAAAAAGGAATGGAGTTTGCAATTATTTTCAAAGAAGTAATAACAAGATGGTTGCGCATAAGACAATTCAAAATCCTTCGTTGCCAGTTAAAGCACATGCTCGCAAGTTATTACTTCATAACATGAAATTAGCAAATACTTGCCGTTTGATTGTTATTTTTTCTTTGATAAGTTTTGCTATTCCTGTTATTTTATTAGGATTTCAACCGATTGATTTCGGTGTTTATTTCACGGTAGTAAGTGATTGGTGTAATGTGCTGTATCTTTTAAATCCTGTGATGAATTGTTTTATTTTCTTCTGGAGAGTGGCAACTGTAAGGTATGAAGCAAAAGTTTTTTTAAAAGAATTATATCATAATTTAATTTTATTTTTCCACCATGATAAATGAATCAAAAAAGACACATTAGTCTGACTTTATCTTCCTCTTTAATAAAAGATTAAAAAAAATATTTCATAATTTGCAAACAACAGCAACTCATTGAAAATGTAGAGGTTGCTTCATATATTTGTGATGTAAAAGAAAAATATATGCCATGGAAAGAATTATACGAATAAGTCTACGTTTATGTTTTCCCCGCTGCTCTTTGGAATTTTTAAGATTGCAGTTGTAAAAAAGTTAGAATTAAACACAATAGAATTGATTCATTTCAAACGACAAATAAAAGTTTTTACTTCATATGAGTATCTCAAATTTGTTTTGTTAAGAAACGGCTACAACACAAGGTAAGGTAAACAAGCATTAAGTACTAGAAAAGTATGTACGTGGTAAGAGGTATATTTGTTGGAAGAACGACTCAAGGTGAATTTGCCCCTTTTATTCGGAAAATAAGACTTGTTGACAAAGAATATTTTCAAACATGTTCGTTTTACTTTATGCCAATTGTTTCTAACATCTGTGCCTGATTGGCGGACAGCTAATTTTCCACTGGACTAAATACAAAAAATTCAACTTCAATAACCATTTAATTTTGATCGCATCTTTTGCATTATTTAACGCATGCGCAATCTGGAAAATTGTACATTCCATGGAAAAATTTCTTTAGGGGAACGGGCCTCAGTGCTAAAGTTCCAATTTCTTAAAAAAATCGCAGTACTGATGTTCCAAGTTTCAATAAATTAATGTTTTCAGAGACATAATGCACCAAAAATTAATCTTGTGAAAATGACAAAAATATATAAATGACGTATTTAATTCAAAAATTCGTGCTACATAAAGTATTGCATACAACTATGTTGGTAAATTTAACTAAACAGAAACGCTATCAAAGTAATATTTTGAGCATCGGTTTATAAGATTTTGAATGTACGTACTGAAATTTAGGGTAAGTTCTATAACTAACGGTGATATGCAGAAAAATATAAATTAATCAATAGGAAGAGTACAACCTAACAAATAATTCAAAGCAATTTGAGGAACACGGCTTTGTTTTTAGTAAATTAATCAATAAACTAGAAAAGTTTCTTTCAATTAAGAGAATTCCAGTTGTTGAGCCCACAATCATTAATCATCAGTATGTGCAGGATCGGTGTCGCCCCCAGTACTCTCCATGGAGTTCTCGCGATGTCCTCTCAAGCGGTTTGGAGGAGTGTCGTAACCACTACGACCACCACCACCTCGAGACCTAAATTTAGATGTATGGTCAATAGGGTGACATAACTGACAATCTTTAGAAAATTACAATAATTTAATTATTTCACAAGAGCTCAAATTTATTATCTAAGCTATAAATTCAAACACTAACGTAATCACATTACATTTCTATCTCTCGAAAGGACACCAAAAAATTGATTGGTTATTCCATTTACCTTAAACGGCTCTTGAGCGTGGAAATTTCACGATTTAAAGTTTCTTGTGATTCGTTCAAGTCATCAACTTCGCGTTGCAATCTTCGTTTCGAAGCGTTCGCTTGTTGCAATTCTTCTTCGGTATCGTCCAATTGTCGCTTCGTCTGACGAAGTTTCTGACTTGTCTTGTCGTACTGAAAAACAGAAAAGCATAGCATATAATTATTAGTTAGAACTTTCAGCATTGAGCTTCATAAAAACCAAACAAAATCAATAAAAAAATTTAAATTCACGTATGAAAGTTTTTTTTTCACGGAAAAAGATATGTATCTACTGCATCATAAACATAAAGTAAATGGTTTGAACCCGGGAGTATCGTTATATGTTTGTAAATGATGATCGTCCAGGTTAATAAAGTCCTGAGAAGGACTGTTTTTGTTGTTGTTGACTGACGTTTCGACAAACTTAGGGGTAGTCATCTTAAGAGTCAAAAACTCAGGACTTTATTAACCTGGACGATCATCATTTACATCAAAACATCTTGCAAGCTTATTAACAACCTTTGACCTGGAGGGTTAAACTATACTGGTATAAACAAATTTTGAATCACAACTCAAGGGTTTCTTACGAGCACAAAAATACAATTTTTAAGACGTCAAGCGGAGATTTAAAGCAAGAATAGACAATGATAGCATGGCCATTTACGCAAAAAACTCATTGCAAAATTTAACATTCATATTGGTGGCAAAATCCACAACTTGGATGTACATCATCTATCCATCAAAGGCATGGGTGAGTGAAGCATATCCAACTAAAACAGGGTCAAAAGCTGTTCCTGCTTAACTTAACACCATGAATGCAAAATTGTGTATATAATGAATAAAAATTACCTGTTCTTTGTACTGGTCAGCGTGTCTACGTTCTTCCTCGACTTGGATGGAGATTTCTCGCACTTTCTTCTCTGATTTGCGAAGATTTTTGGCTAAGGATGCGCGATCACTATAAGAGAATACGAGGTTGCGATCATGAAGCCTCAACTCCAACGACATGTTAACAACATCAAGTTTAAGCGCCAGCACAACACTTATAGCGAAAACATGATTATCACGTGATGGTTGACATTCCAAAATTAGCAAAAATGTAACACGTAAACATTTTGGTTCAGTGTAAACTTTGTACAACTTATCTGGGTGAGTAATTTTTAACAAATTCAAAAAAACTTAAACAGACTTCATTGGTTTATCAGTTGGCAACGTAGACATGCACCTCGCACACACCAGGAAGTTACAAAAAAATTGTCTACTTACGCTGCCTCAGCATTTAACTGTTCGTCCAATGTTGCAACTTTAGCTTCAAGACCTTGGATAACACCACGTGTCTTTGATCGTAGTTCACTCTCAAGTTCCTGTAACTTCGTCTTCAGTTCTTTATTCTGACGTTCCAACGAAGTACGTTGGTTCTCCAATCGCTGAGAGTTGGAGCGCTCGGAGTTCAATTCATTTTGAGCTTGATCCGCCTGATAAGTTACAATGACGAAACTACGTTATTCGCTGTCATAATTGTACAATCATTACACCACAAAGAGTAACGATTTGAGATCATTCTATAAATGGTGCCCGCTAGCACAGCTACAATAAGGTAAACACCACATTATACCAAACATAAGAAGTACGCTTAAGTTAAGCAATGTCTGTAAAAAACTGTAAAAAGTAGTAAATTACGCTATTAGTCAAAATGCACACCGAAAGTCTGAGAATTTCAGATGGAATAAACATCCCAATAACCCAATCCATAACACTTAGTCCAATCTTCATTCCTTACGATATTTTTGAATGGAAATTTTCTATCACTTACATAGCCAGGTTTTCTAAGACACCCCCCGTTTCATACATAAAACAATAATTCCAGCTGCTCTATCATGAATCAAGTACTATATATGCACACTTGACCATAATTTATAGTATTGAAAAATCATCATGTACATTGAGTAGGTATTACTTGGTTTCACGAAGCTGTTAAAGTTTATTTATAGCTACAAGGGAAATAGTAGGGTAAGAAAAGTGAATTTTCAACAAGTTCAACTTACTGCTTGTTGTGCTCGTCTTGCTTTCTCTTCAAGCACTTCATTCTGAGCTCTTTCTTCGTCCAATTCTTCTTCAATTTCGGAGATTTTCGCATCCAAACGTCGCTTCTCATCAGAAAGCGCAGATCTGAAATGAAATTAACGCATAACTAAATAAGGCCACTTTTATATCATTGCGAATGCTTCGTTGTACTTTCCCATTAGCTCTAGCACGAATCATTACAACATGTATCGAACACATAAATCTTCAGAATTGGCAATATGTATAAATTGGAGAAAAAATATACAATGGCAGGAGTGTAGTTTGGCGGAAATCTAATGCCGCTGACAAATGATCATAGTGGAGTAATGATTAAAACATATAATGTAAGGAGCCCGCGATACAGTTGATTCACTAAATCTCAGTTGCAAAGATATAAAGTTTTCTACTCTATTATTTGCGGTAAATATGGCAATGTATGTTGATTTTTTGATTAATTATAAGTAGTTGTAAATGACAAAATTAACTCTCGACTACCGTGATGTTGAATGGCCGGACAACTCCTCTTGCAACTCATCTCTTTCGTTTTCTAAAGTCTTTCTAGCACGCTCGGCTGCGGCAAGATCCTAAAATATAACCCAACTACGTTTAGCGGAAACATTCGACTTGGCAAATTCTTGTGAAAAGGTTGATTACATCAGCACAACTAGCCAGAATTCCGTGAAACGTTAAATGATTTTGGCAAATTGATACGATCCATTATTTACCATTTTACAAATCTACAGCAGCATGCGCGCTTAATAAATATAAAAAAACTTACAAAATGACAACAGCAAATTCTCCTAGTTCAAGCCTTAGTTAAAACAGACGTTACCCATCAAGCAAAGTAAATAGTATTTCTCACGCTTAAAGTTTCGACTTATTTCAATGTCTCAAAATCGTTTCACGCTTCACTAAATTCACGATTAGCCGAGATCATATAAATAACATTTAAAAATATCAAACCTCTTGCGTTTGCAAGAACTCCGTTTCCAGATTCTTCAATTTCTTCTCATTTTCACGTGCAGTGTCAGCAAGCTCGTCACGTGAATACTGAGCGACTTCAAGGTCTTTCTGCAGATCCTTAACTTGCTGTTGATATCTCTTCAGATGCTTTATACTGTCTTCTTTCACCTTATTGGCTGCTTCCAGTTGCTCTTCGACGTCTTTCACATCGAGTTCAAGTTTCTTTTTCGCGTTCTGCGCGTTCGATCGAGACTTTCGCTCTTCCTCTAACTCTACTTCCATTTCTCGCAACTAAAATTCAAAGGTTGAAGTACATTATACTCTCTATAGATTTAATTTCCGAGTTTCAAGTTAAACAAGCGTTTGGAATGTTATTAAAGAAGCAGATAAACCCTTTAAGTACTTGAAACATCGGCCTCCAAAACATCCGAGCAACAGAAACGTAATCAAAAATTAACGGTTGTGAACAGACAAAACAAGTCTCAAAGTGTGGAATGGACACCAACGATCAGTGTACCTGTTTGATCATTTGTCGCCTCTTATCCTCACTCATCTCTTCTTTACCAGCAAGATCTCTTTCGTGGTTTGCTTTCAATGCTTGAAGATTTACTTCAAGTCGTAGTCGAGCATCTTCGGACAGTTGAAGTTCATCCTCCAGTTCCTCTACCTTTTCACGCATCTCTGCCACTTGGCCTTCCAGAGATCTCTTTGATCGCTCAAGATCGTGTACCTTCGATGGATGGAAAACAAGATGAAAAGTAGTACAGCTTCGTGTAGTACAAGAGAAAAGTAGTAGAAAAGTAGTACAGCTGCATATAGAGATATTGATCGTGTAGAAACAGTAAAACAACTTAAATTCTCATACAAATTGAACTCTTAGTTATTGTTGAAATACACACGGAGTCCATAATATAGAATCTCATTCATCACAATCAAGTGATATATGAATAATTTTCATTCATCCGCTGGGGATCAACTTGACAATAGACGAAGCAGCCATACTTGTGTACCAAACAAAAGAACTCCATAGAAATTCTTTCTAATTGGTACCTCAACATGGTGAAAATGTTCTATTCAGGTGGTCTAAATTTGCATGGTCAAAGACATCATTATTGACCTTTTCTATGGTTCTCTACTTAGATACAGTACATTGTACGCGTCATACGTGTATAAACACATAGTATACTTTATTGTACGGCTTTGGCAGTTATTTCATGAAACGTACAATTTGATTGACAGTAACATGGACGTAAAGTAAACAATAGTACAGTATTTTTTCTTCCAATAAACGTAGCCATAAGATGACTTGTTGTTCTCCATCAATGTAAGATGAATTTATTTTGGTATTTTACCGCATGAACCTCGAGGTTCGCCAAATAAAAGTTTTATCATAGAATATGGACTCACATTTTTGCCAACGTCATCCTTGCTTTCCATGAGAGCCTCCAGTTCCATCTAAACAACAATGATTTGAAGTTATTTCATTGCTTAAAAAATACGCTCTCTGGTTCATCTTATTCAGCTATTACGACGAATATCTGCCTTTCTTGATCTGCAGTTTTAGCGCATGCGCTGATCACATAAGCGTCCAATAATACCAAACTTAAATCTGGAGCAACCTGCTTTAGGTATTCTTAAACAATAGATATATCGAAGCGTGACTCGTCAAACACGTTTGGTTTAGAAGATTTTCACTGCCATCTTACCTGTTGTGTTTTCTTCAATTTTTCTGTTTCGGCAAGTCTGTCCTGAAGCTCTTCTAGTTCGTGAGTCAACGAGATAACCTAAACAACGAGAAAAATGGTACATAAAAACAAAAGGTACAAAGATGCTAACGTTTAACTTTGAGCTTGTTAATTACATTGTTTTCGAATCTCCCGAAGTAAGATTTATACGTAGCTACAATGCACTCGAGTTTATGCAGTAATGAAGTAAAAAACAAGGGTTTTTTTATAAACTTTCTATCGAAAGCAATGATAATTTTGAAGGCAATTCACCGCATTTACTTATGATGCTATGTTGAGGATTGTCCAAAATTTTTATGAGAATTGGTTGTTTTAGTCTACGAGTTCAAATTTATATACGTAGTTCAACAAAATTAGTTATAAAACTTACTAACTCGAAAACGTAAATCTTGTTTAGTAATGTGTGGACACTATGAGGTTAATGTTATTTCATATTTTTGATAAAGCAGTTCTCAAGCTCTTTCGTTAATTACACGTATATTTTAAAGACTTTTAAGTGCCCGTCAAATCGACATTTAAGGATATTGAAGAACTTGAACCACTATCTAAACTCTGAACATAGTATTCAACGGAGATCAAAATGTCGTCACTCTATAAATCAACGAGTACAATTTAAGTAAACTACATCATTTTTAAAAAACATTATCTACCTTCGTTTCATTCTGTCTTGCGTCTCGTTCAGCAGCATCGCGTTCGGCAGAAAGTTTCTCCGAGTTTGCTTTTTCTTCGGCGAGAAGCTATAGAAAAAAATATTAAATTAGTCAACAAGAACGTTGGCCAAGAAGATGATAATAACGAAAGGTGAATATACAGAAAAACTAAAACATCAAAACTGAAAAAAAAGAAGAGAACTAATACAGGTCCGTCATAAATCTATATGTTCAAGCAGGGATATTTTCAAGCACTTCAGTCTATACATACTACACTTTTTTCGGGGAGTTTTTTTTTTTGAAATTAAAACTCGAATATATTTTTGTATTTTGCAATCAGCCACAGCGATATTCACGAGTTTAAACAACAAGTACAAAGAAAAAACTATAAATTCCATTTTTAATGACAACCTCGAGTACAAATTTAGCATCCTTAATATGAAATATTTTAGTATGGACGTTACATATATGTAACATGTTATGTATCTAATATTTTAACAGTGGCGTTATATTAACATTTGCTACAATAACTTCGAGGAGTACTAAATGGTGTGAAAATATAAATATAAAGGATCATTAAGTTTGAAAACCTAGTTGAAGTTGAGGTACTGTACCGGTAATAGTAAATTGCTTTAATATATCCCTGGTTCATGATTTATAATATGCTTAGAAGTATGTACAATAAAATACGCTACGCTAGAGAATTGATATGGCTATGGACGGCATAGGTCTTGTTCATCTATATTGTCTGATTCACTTATTCATATTGGCTACGTACAAACTATATTATTATTAGGAGAAGTGAAAAATCATTTGAAACTTACCGCATCGAATTTTCGTTGTTTTTTCTCCAATTCGGACACGCGTCCTCTGTCTCTATCGACGTTTATGTTCAAGTCATCCAACTGTAAAAACAAACACAATATAGATAAATAAAAAACAAATGAAAAAGTAGAACTTAACTAGATTTAACCAACCTCTTCCTGCAGACGTTTCTTCGACTTTTCCAGTTTACTATTGTTGGCACGTAGTTCGTCGACAACGGTCTGCAGAGCTTCATATTCTTTGCTCGTCTTCTTCTTGCTTATTTGAAGCTCTTCGATCTCTTCATCTTTATTTTTCAAATTCATTTGGAAAGTGGAAATCTAAAAGTTAAAAACACTAAAATTTTACCATGGTATTTTTGATTGCAATATAAAATGACTTAATGACGCTAATTTCTTCTCTCTTTGGAGATATGTAAGTTTTCTTCAATATGCAAATGACATCGTTATGACTTCAAATTTCATAATTAATATTAGGAAAAAGTAGTTCTTGTCGACAGTCAGCATTGAAATATCTAACTTGGGGATATTTACAAACATTTATTAACACATGTATTCATGACATACACATCAAACATTTAACGATGCGGAAAATTGAGGACCTTTAAAATGTCATTATACACGGTGATGTCATAACGACGTCATTTGCATAAAGAAAAAACTTAACTCTAGAAAAAGTACAATAGGTCATTCTACTGAAGAGGTTATATAGTCATTTTATATTTTCTTTCCAATACAATCAAAAAATTCGTGATAAAGTTTTGCATCAAACACTTTAAGTTAGTCTTGTGTAAACATCGGATACTAAATATTCACGTGTTCTTAAATGCAACTCTCGTCGTTTTATTTTTGGTAGAAACATTTATGTGAAAACAATGTTGAGAAGACCAAACTGCTTCTTTGTGAGCAAAATATCTTCAATCTAGTTTCAAAAATTTGTGTTTCAAAACATACCAACATAGCCATTTTTTGATATTCTAAAGTAAACCAGAGTTTCGAGACTGACAGACAAGTACAAAACTCAATAATGTTGATTGCTAGAAATAAGCTAAAAAACAACTCAGAAACCCATAGAAACGTACCGAAGACTGAAGTTCGCCTTGTTTTTGTTGTAAAATACGAATTTCTTCATTTGCACCACTGAGTTCTGATTCAACATTTTGAAGATTTGATTCAGCATCGCGAAGCCTAGTGCTGACACTAAGTTTTTGACGTGTTTCGTCTGCTATTGCTTCCTAAAGAAGTAAAAACACAATAACTTGTGATATGCAAATTAATGAGTCACAATACATTAAAGTGCGCACGCGTATAATCGGGAATCTCCTACGCATAAACACGTAAAGTTCATATACAGACAAGAACGATAGGCATTATTTTTTCAGTGGAATTTCATCTTTGTGAGGATAATTGGTTGTTGAAATTGACAAAAATAATGTAAAACAAAAGTAGTTATAAGTTATTTTCCTGGATTTATTTTACGTAACTTTAATCGGAGCCAATTTTACTTTGACGATGTTCACAATGTACAATATGTTACGTAGGTCTTATATGTTTCAAAAAAGTAAAGTAAATCGTAACCTAAACAATTTATCCCCAGGAACTCAACATATATCATGGAAATTTAATAATATCCCTTAATGTACCTTTGAGTGCCATAAATATACTGCATGCAAGTACCTTATATATAACTTTGTATACCTTAAATGTAGCCTTATATCCCTTAAGAACATCTAAGTACATCTATGTGTTTTAAATAAACCTTACGTATGTACCATAAATGTACCTTAATACCTTATCATCAATAGCTTTTTAACGGTGACCAACAAAAAACATAACCACATCGTGATAACAAATGCAGGACACCTACCCTCAATAAATTATAACACATTTACCTGTGCATCCTGCAACTGTGAAGTCAGGCTAGATTTCTCCCGTTCGAGATTTCGCGATTTCTCTTCAGCTTCGTCCATTTGATTGATGATCGCTTCCATTTCCTTCTCGGTTTTCGTTTTCGACGACTGCAAATCGGCGACTTGTCTCTCGTCGTCACTTAATCGAGCGTTCGCCTCGTTGAGACTGTTCTCCAGGGTCTTCACACGTCGCTCGAGTTCAGACTTCGCCTTACTTATTGCCTGAAGATCTTCTTGAAGCTCCGTATTTTCTGAATCTAATTTCGCTTTGGCCTTCTCCAGTTGAACTTTACTCTATTTAATCAAAGAAATTAAGATCAAAAACAACGTAGAGACTTGCAGTCAGCTTAAATTTTGAAACAAATAGACTTTGGTGTTCTGAGTTGAACATCGCGCTTTACAAATGGTGGTGGTTGGGACGTAGCCAACAGGGCGTGGTAAGGTTGACGTGGCTAGTTGGGTGCAAGTACCATGTAATATACAACTGGTGACCATCTTAAAATGTTGTAATAGTTTCTAGCTCTGTATACTCCACTATCACACACGTGATTTACCCAACAGGTGAACCATACATTTGTGAAACCTGGGTTGGATCCACAGTATAGGAATTATATAAAAGGTACACTTCCCTGTGCAACTGGCTGCTGTATATTTAATTAGACCAGTGGCTGCCGTTAGCCATTTTATCATTTATGTTGGTCAAAAAACACAATTGACTGGCTGCCACTATGGTAATCACATGCGTAATAAAATATGTGTGGCATGAAAATATTTAATGGAGTGTCTCTACTGTATATTCACTATACTGTGGTTGGCTCTCTAAAGGGGGAAACTGTTCTCCTTCTTAAACAGGAGGGAAACGCACTTTCTCTTGAATGATTTCTTAGGAGCACACCGTTCCCCTTTTAAAATCGAAGTGGCATGTTCCCCAAAACTGTACTAAAACATCGATGCCATTAAGGAATTGCTTTTATGTGAAAACCGCCAGATAATGCATACGTTAGCACACTGTTAGTACAAGTCTTATCTCGACTATATAGTAAGAAATTGCTACGTAAATGTTTCATACATACATACGTACCTTCTTCGTAGACTCCAACTGCACATTTAGTTCTTCAACTAAAGTAGAATGTTTCTGTCGTAGGTTTGACATGGCGGCTTCGTGAGCGGCAGATTCTTCGTTAATGCTCTTCTTCAGCGAGTCAAGTTCTTGTTCTCGTTTTGTTTTCATTTCCTGCGCTGCTGCTGTCGTGTCGATGGATTCCTCGAGTTCTGATTTCAGGTTATCCAATTCCTAGAACATTGACAACAACTAGTTTTTAGTGATGTTAAAAAGGAAATGACATCACATATTGTATAACTCTCAACTAGATTATTAATCACGTAACCAATGTACTTATGACTGTTCTGCCTTGTGAAAGAGCACGTGTTAAGTTAAAATTTATTTTCGATTATTATGAGTTAAACTTATTATGATTTTGTCTATGTTCCGTGAAACCTCTACATCTAACAGGTTATAGGCCCAGGATGCTATGAAGAATCGAACAAGTCGACAATTTGATAAAATATTTCTAAAAGTATTTTGCGGTCGAATATAAAATTAATATGATAGACTCCTCGAGTTCGGATTCAGGTTATCCAATTCCAACGTAGAACATTGACAATAACTCTGCAGAATATTGACAATAACTACGTAGAACACTGACAATAACTACGTAGAACATTGACAATAACTATGTAGAACACTGACAATAACTACGCAGAACACTGACAATAACAACGTAGAACATTGACAATAAGTCTGTAGAACATTGACAATAACTACGTAGAACACTGACAATAACTACGTAGAACATTGACAATAACTATGTAGAACACTGACAATAACTACGCAGAACACTGACAATAACAACGTAGAACATTGACAATAAGTCTGTAGAACATTGACAATAACAACGTAGAACACTGACAATAACTACGTAGAACATTGACAATAACTACATAGAACGCTGACAATAACTACGTAGAACATTGACAATAACTACGTAGAACACTGACAATAACTACGTAGAACATTGACAATAACTACGTAGAACATTGACAATAACTACGTAGAACATTGACAATAACTCTGTAGAACATTGATAAATAACTACGTAGAACACTGACAATAACTACGTAGAACACTGACAATAACTCTGTAGAACACTGACAATAACTCTGTAGAACATTGACAATAACTACGTAGAACACTGACAATAACTACGTAGAACACTGACAATAACTACGTAGAACACTGACAATAACTCTGTAGAACATTGACAATAACTACGTAGAACACTGACAATAACTACGTAGAACATTGACAATAACTACGTAGCTCTTAGTGCTTTATATAATTCTTTGCTGTCTCAATTAAAAATAGATTACGTAAGTAAACCTGCATCTCAAAGAAAAACAAACACAACGAAAAGAGTACCGACCTCACTGATCTCTTTTTTCTGTCGCTCGGCCTTTGAACGAGATGCTTTCTCGGCGTCAAGATCCTCTGTCAGTTCCTCAATTTTATTTTCTAATTCTCGAATGCTTCTTTCAAGACCAAGACGTTTGTTGGTCTCGGCATCGACCCTAAACAAAGACATGAAAATGTTGTTAGTAATTGTTCTATTAACAGGGTTTCTTTCTCACATTTTTGGACACCAAACAAAAGGCAATAACATCGCTAAGCATTTAATTGACATGCGCAGTTGTGTTATAGTTATGTCTGAAATTATACACAATAAAAAACATCTAACTGAGTTCTCAATACAACTGACTACCATTTACTTGTAATAAAACAGTTGCTTTCAATGCCGTTCGAGTTTTCAGAGTGAATAAAACTTCGCATTTTTTTACTTGCTAGAGTGAAAATCAATTTATTTCTGTGATAAGTACAGTGAACGTTTATCGTCTTATACATCTTGAGGTCTAGCGACTAAAATAGCACAGTCACGCACAGCTTAATTTAATTAACGATAATCATAACCTAACTAGGAAGCCATCCCTACGTATATTAAAGTGACCACTAAGAGTTGGACACACAAACCTTGAATTAGTTTCGTTGACATCTTGTTCTCTCTTTGTCAGCATACCTTCAAGTTCTTCAATCTATCAACAAAACACGTGGAATGCATTCATTCAATGCTGCACGAGCGCTATAACAATTAGCTGTTCAAGGGGGAGGGGGGATAAGAGTTTTGAAATGGAAATGTAATAGTCTATCCAGGACTGCAGATAAAATTCAACCTCCACTTCTGAGAAAGACACATAGTGAGCTAATATTCACAGAGATATGATCAAAAATTACAAGTCGACGACATTCAAGTTTTAAATTCAAACATTCGAGGCCTTCGATTATTTATTTTAGATAAAAGGAAATTCAACTTCCTTTAGTTAACATATTGATATGTGGAAAATAAAACAACTTCTTATTGATATGTACGTAATCTTACGTTGAAGGGAAAAGTCGATTGTTTCACACAACATTACGACAACCAACACAAGTAGAAACAATGAGCTTTAAGGTAGGACATGCATAAATAGTATCATCTCTCAAGGTGACTAGTCATGGTAATTTCTCACAAAATCTGCTCAGGTACACTTACACAAACCTACTTGCTTTCACGGACTGCAACATTTTCAACAAGGGAGGAGCAGTCTGATAAGATGAAAGCTGGCTTGGTAAAAAATTATGCATACATGGTCACACCAACACCCCTCCTTTCTCTTGCGTACATAATAAAAAGCATATTTCACTCCTCCCTGCTTTTCTATTGTACACTATAGACTTAAGTACTACATACTCTTTGTTTTGCCTCCAGTAGTTGCTCTTGAAGTTCAGCTATTTCAGCGAGTAATTTCCTCTTTTCTTTCTCCAACTCTTGTCGTGCTTTCTCCTCACTACGTAAGCGATCCTCAAGATCTGTGATAGTTGCCTCGTGCTTCGCCTTGATCTTTCCCAAACTTTTGCTCTTGTCCTCTTCGTCTTGTAGTTGCGTCATTGTTTCAGCTAATTTTTCTTCAAGCTGCTTCTTCTCTTTACCAAGCTAAAAAAGATTCAATTTTCTTAAAAATATTGTTCGCACGTCCCTTTTTGGAATTCTGTTCTGAATCCTGATTTAATTGTTCATTCCAAACAAAATCAACACTAACTTTGATCGAGAGAAAATGGTAAATTCAATTCATTTAACTAAAATAAGCTTGTTACTTTTTGAATGTAATAGTATATTTCTCTCAAAATTTCATAATTCTCCTGTATAGTCTTCACACGCCCGCCGTGGAACTCAGATTCGGTCGTCGGGGTCAGCGTGTGTAAAAAAAGTTCTTCTATCTATTTATTTATTATTAAGTTCAACTTACCTTCGAGTTGGAATCTTCGAATGACAACAAGTCTTCTTCGTACTTTTTAAGCTTTGCCTCGATTTGAACTTTCTCCAATTGTAATTTCTGTCTGGTTGCTTCTTCTTCGTCAAGTCTGAAAACATCAGTCGAATATTTGTTAACAGAGAGAAAAAATTGAACTAAATATAATCAAAACTAATATACTTAAACATTGCCCAACAAAAATAAAGACAGACTCAACCAAAACAGACTTCTTCCTCGACAGTAAGTTGAAATGCACTTACTAAAGTTTTGGCGAAGTTAAGCTTCAAGCAAGTTTTGAAAATATCCTGATGAATGAGGATAAAGCCAGCTACGTAAACAACCTCTTGGACTGTATCCCAAACTAAAGGGGTTTCCGCCGGGCGAGGAAATAAATAAGAGGAAAATGCTTTCTCCCACAAGTTGGCTGCACAATAATCGGGTGGTGCAGGTCGGCAAGCATGTTTTTGTTGTTGCTTCGCCTTGTTTGACGTGCTATTCCCTCCACACACCCGTTTGTACGTTATATAGACGCGTTGTCCGAACTTGTTTAGTTATTTTGCTTATCGTGTTTAATAGCCTTACGAGTTTGTAGCTAGATAAGTTAGTATTTGGTGGTTTGGTAATGGTTAAGTAAGAATAAAGTCAAGCTTGCGCCGATAGCCAACAGCAGCCCCTAGCGTGTGTAAGGATAGATATTAAATATTGATCACAAAAAATCCCTGGAACTTCTCTAAGTATTGGAATGTACGTAGAACGACTATGCAAAATAATGAATATGTAAAAATAACAAAAAATAATATCTTCCTGCGTAGCTAACATGAAGTACACAACCAACGTAAACAATCATCTGCTTCGTGTTGACTATAAAATTTAAATTATATACATGCAGGAGATAGCAAAATACACAAATGTACTCACTGTTCCTCCAGATCCAGTATGTTCTGCTGTAGGCCTCGTTTTTCATCTGCAAGTTTTAAAGATTTGTCTTCTTCTTCTTCTACCTTTGCTTCAAGATCTTCAAGCAAAAGTTCCAGTTCATTTTTCTTTGCTGACAACCTCTGTCGCATCTCGTCTGCTTCGACGTACGCTTCTTGCGTCTGTTCAAGTTTCTCGGCGAGTACCTGTTTCTCTTCGCTCACCTGCGCATGCGTCTGTTCAAGTTCCTTAAATTGTCCCTCGATCTTTTCCAGTTTATCAGACACTTTCTTCAATTCGTCTTGATGTTGAATTAACTGTTCCTCTTGACGCGTAACGTCCAAGAGAGGTTTCACCTGTTTTAACGAGAAAAAGATAAATTGAAGACGGGAAAGAAAAGATTAGTTAGTCGCATTCATTAAAGGGTTGGCCTCTCTCAACATCGCTTGTTGTTTGTCTTTTGATGAGTAGCAAGTTGTTGGATTGAGACTGCAGAAAGAGCGGGACAAGCATGGAGCAAAATCAAGATTGCAAACCATAATATTTGTCTGCATATGATACTGACACGCAGTGTATGTATGAAACATGTATGGAAAATGTTGACTTAGGATTGCACAGATGATTATAAAGTACAGATTTGGCAGATATGAGATATGGAGACATTTTCAAATCAATTTCTCTTAACAATGATCATATGTACTTTAGCTGACTTAATACCGCCAATTAACCAATATAAACAAAATCTATCAATTTATCATTGATGACTCATCCGGACATAGATTCATAAATCCAGATATCACATTAAAATTTCAGATCTCAAAATGCGAATTCTAGGTAAGGCATTCTCGAGTCCAGAGCATTCATAATCCTTGTTCTTAGATTATGAACTTCATTAATTCGACACTAGATAAAATGTATCTATTGAATATACGCCAGAGGGAAATAAATACTTACCTTAGTAAATAGACGCCACCACGGCCAGTTACGAAGCTTCAGGTAATTCAAGCAATTCTTCTGTAGTACTCTGATAGCGTTCAACTGCTGAGTTCGTTTCTCGTAGTTCTTACGGGCCAGGTTACCACGACAGAATGCTTGGAATATCGTAATGATCTCGGTCAACTTCGTGTCACGATCCTCCTCGAGCTTAGCGAGAACTCCCGCGCGGAAAAATATCTTCGATTGACCAACGCGATAGCTGTTTTTATCCAGTTCAAGAAAGTCCAACTATTGACAAAAGGAAAATCATCGGGTTTTACAATTGAAATCAACCTTATCTTAGTTTATTAAAAGTAATGCAGCCATGGGCACATAAATATGATTATGTGTCAACCAAGATGCATTGCGCGTTAATCACGCGGCCAATTTGTGAGTGGATAAAATGGCGGATTTTTTTGAAGTAGTCCATGCAACTTAGACATACAATAATCAATGATGTAAAACAGAGTGTTAATGTTTTTTTCTGCTAACGTTTCTTATAAATTACACAACGTAGTGACGAAATTGAATTAAGTGTACTGCAAGCTCGAAAATGAAACATGAACAAAAGCACGCAATGCATCTTGGCTGACACACATTCTTAAAAAGATTTGTTCCAAAAGATAATCATGATACGATGAGGTAACATGTTTGTATTTAGGCATGAGGTAACATGTTTTATTCAAACTCACTCATATCATCGTCATGGTAAACATTAGCATCTTAAATACCCTATCAATGCTCGCAGTAGTAAATTGGACAATTGTTGATACGACACATTGACGATAATTATGATTATAAATATTATCATGTTGTCGACAGTGAAGTTCCTGTCTCTTTTAATGCTATGGGCGACTTTAGTTAACACTCTGATGACTGCAAGATATAGCCAAAAAAAATCTTGGTAGTTTTTTCACAAACCCAAAGTTTAGTAAATACTTCAAAAACAACTTGGCTGAAAGAGTTAAGACGACCTCATGGCGTTTAAATACAGCAGTTGAACATATAAAAACATCTCACTACACGAGTTTTCTATGATCATGGCAACTCGTAATACACTGCACAATGGATTAAACGTATGTACTTATACAGGTTAATAATTACCATTTGTTGGGCAGCTTTTCTACCATCCATAAATCCCTTAGGAATCAAGTTGGGAGTGAGGATTTCATAACTGTGAAAAACAAAAGTATATTAGAAAACATTTTAAACTGCTTTGAGCAAGTCCTAAAATATCTTCTGGGTAAAAAAAAAAAAAGAAGGAAAATTCGCTTGTAAATGAAACAAAACGTAAAAGCTCATTTTTTGTGAAAAGGTTATTTCTGTTGAAAAAATAATCACCGTTGTTTGAATTCTTGGAAAGCAATTCTGTTTGGGAAACCTTGACGACAAATACGAATTCCTTCGAGGACACCGTTACATTTCAATTGATCCAAAACCAGGTGAGAGTCAATCTTACCTGCCTGCAACGAAAAATTTCACCTACAATTAAAGGCTGTAGACTTAACGAATTGAAAACTTTCATTACATCCAGAAAAAACGTGTATAAGACATTGAAAGACAACATTGTAAAAGGTGATATCCGCGTTTCGCAATTGATCTTCTCTTACAAGTGAGCTTACACTAAAGTTTTCATGCAGTTATGTCTGAATCGCGTCAATATTATTTATTTCTTACAAAATATTATTTATAATATTTATAATATATTATTATTTATTTCCTACAAACCAAAATTCAATTTTTTAAATAATCAGCACATACGTACCCGTTTCTCGTGGTTAGGAATAATACAACGGACGAAATTTGCGTTGGTGTTCGACAATACATCCATCAGTTTGGTAAGTTGTTCCTATATAGGACGAATAAAAATAGTTAAAATACAAGAGATTCCGCTGACACAAACCACGAAAATTACGTACTATCAGCACACGTCTTATGTACGTACGTACCTTGTATAATTGACCGACAGTCCTAAACATTCCTTTTCGGACTTTTGATCCAAATGGTGAGTCAGAACCTCCAGTTGCACCCAGACTCACGATGTTTTCTGTGTGAAAAGAACAAATATACCTTAACAATTACTGCCATATTTCAACAAAAGAGGCAGTTTCAGCGTTCTTAGGTCACCTGTGTCCTTCCACAATGAAGAGACAAAAGAATCACTTGAATTTTGAAACAAAGTAACGATGTTATCATTTAAAGGATCCATGTTCTTCATCAACCATTTTTCAGCATTATAATCCACCTGTGGTTACGAAATGTTACAGTAAGGGATGAATTGGTAACAATCAAATAAAAAAGCCATTATCATGCATCAACAGTAGCAATTAGTTGCAAAGTATGAATGATAAAAGTCAAGTATGAATTGTAATGGTAGCATAAACAGTTATGGCGAAGCATGAATGGTGATGGTCAGATAGTTACAATCAGATTGTGATGGTTAGGATCAGATGGTGATTGCTACATACAATCTATGTATATGAATGGTGACAATGTGGTATGTATGAATGGAGTGAATGGTTACAATCCTACACAAATGGTTAAAATCTATATTAATTCCAGTTGAACACATACCATGCCTGCATAGTGAATGATACTAAAATCTGCATTGGATCTGAAATCTGGTTTTTTCAATTTGGGATTTTGGGATAACTCTTTTTCTAGTTTTTCAACAAAACTCTTGTCAGACGCCTTGGGGAACCAACATTCCTCATCCAGAAGACCAAGAACACCAACTTGCTGGAAATTAATGAAAAAAAACTCATGATGAACAAGAACACTTTACTTAAGAAAGTGGTGTAACCTACATAGGGGAGACACCTATTATTAAAGTTCATATTATACAACTCTAAGTGAAACGAGAATCATAAAACTGACTCAAGAATTCATCCTTTGCAGAAAATCTACATTTTTTCAACTATGTATATAATCCAATAAGGTAAATAGAGTTTACAATATTAACAAAAATCAAAGTGCATATTTATTTACTACATGACAAACACAAAAATCCCTCAGTGTACCTTCTCAATCAGATCAATGCAAGGCTGCAAATCAAGACCGAAATCGATAAACTTCCATTCAATTCCTTCTTTTCTGTATTCTTCCTATAAAACAAGAGTAAATACTTATAGAACAACAGTATAGCAAAAAATTCTACTTTTTGCATTTGTCTGGGCAAGCATATGTATATATGATCGATCATTTTGACAAGCCATTTTGACAGGGGGCAGCAGAACACAACCAAACTAATTTTCCACCCAAAATGAGAGAGGCCCAACGAAAAATTATTTGACCAGACATCTCACTTGTTTTCACTTATATAAAAAAAACTAAAGATGTTAAAAGACAAACCTGCTCAAGGATGAACATGGTGTGGTTGAAAAGCTGTTGTAATTTTTCATTCGTATAATTAATACACAGTTGTTCAAAGGAATTTAGCTGAAAAACAAGAAATAAGTTTTTAAAACATAAAACATTTTATCCACCAGACACTATCAGAAGCACTAAAGATGACATTGATTGAGATTCTTTGTCAACATACATTGATGTTAACAAATCAATATTAACGAATGAAGTAAGATGCTTGCATTTAGCCTACCTTGAAAATTTCAAAGCCAGCAATATCAAGTATTCCAATAAAGGACGTGCCATCACGTTTACTTCGATCCAAACATTTATTGATGCGATGAACCATCCACTTGAACATTCTTTCATATAGAGCTTTGGACAGAGCTTCACATGAGAATTCCGCCTAAAGAAAGCATATTGTAGAAACAGTTACAGTCAAAAATTCCTTCACTATACAAAGTATAGTGCAAAAACCTAACACTGTTTTGCCATTTGCAACTTGCAAAACATTTAATTTGACATAGATTTCAAAACCTTCACTGAGCTCACCTGATCTTTTGTTTGTGATTTGTGTACATATTCACGACCCACTTTGACTTTGGGACGAATCAAACTTTTCGTGAAATCAACAACGGGGATACCAAGAAGATGGCAGATTTTCTGTGCCACTAAGAAAGATGAAGTAAGTCTTTATGTGAAATAATGAACAATAAAACCCATTAACCAGCAAATAAAAAATGTTTTCTAGCAAATTGTAACAATGTTTGTACCAGTATTGTTGGGCAATGTTGCTTGATCTGAGTTCCTTTCTTGCTTGAACTTAAGATTACCAAAATGTAATACACTTGAGATGACTTTGAATATCGCTAGAAGATTTTACATTTGTCAAACAGGTATACAAATGATCAACCAACAGAGATAATGTAGCCAAAATTTGGAAACTATAAAAAATTACTTACAGTTCGATTCATCAGTTGAAATTCCCATGTCCCTCATTCCATTCTGAAATGGAAAATATATAACAATTTACACAACTAATACAAGCACAAATCTGTAACTGATGCTTTCACCATACATAAAAAATTAACAACAAAGCAAAATGCGAGTTGCTATATGCTTTAAGTGTTTTCTCTTATCTTTCTCAAATCAAACTTATACTTTAATCAACAATCTTTATATTTAAAGAGTGAAGTGATTTTAAAAATTGTATTTGGATCCATTATAATTAATCATATCTTTAAAGTGTATCAATAGGTGACCTTATTGTGCAACGAAGTTAAATGTATGTATTTCTACAATCCTATAGTCTGTGTTGAGCCATTTAGAAATGTTTTCTGTTTCAACTATATGTAAAGCATGTGAAAACTTGTTCTAGAAGTCTCAGTCTAGTGTTTGATCACAAAATTGTCTTTTTGCAGTAGTACAATTAGGTCATATTTGAGATTAAAGTTAACTCCCATCCTGATGAATTTAACTAATATTTATGCTTTTCAGCATTTGAATAGCAATATCTTACCAAGGTGTCTTTAAGATCTGAGCGATCATCAATTCCACTAACTTCCACATTTCCATTTGATAGAAAAGTGTATTGTCCAATGTCCTCAAAAAGAAACTCATCTAGAAATGAGATATAACATAACAATCAATAGTGCTATGCAACATGTTGCTACTGTAATGACATACAAGTTTAAAGAAGAATTTTTGACAAACTCATTACTACACATGTCATTAACTAGAAATGTGCATCTACAAAAAGATTATCTACGTAAGTTATGGTTTCAAAATTGTAGCGAGAGACTTGCCGAGCGGAAATCGAATTCGTGCTTTTTTTTGGTCTATTTCTATGGCTCTAATCAGAACTTTAAGTTGGGCATTAATTTTTATCACACGAGTTATGGTTTCGGTTTGGGTTTTTTCAAGAAAGAATACAAATGTTTTAACTTATCCCTTACATTAATTAATTTCAAAATAAAAGCATATCTGCATGTTGCTTACATATGTACATAACAATTGAAAAAAATGACCACTATACTAAGGGAGTACCTTTCATCTGCTTGTTCATTCCATTGAGAATTTGATAGAAAATATGAAAGCATCTTTCTTCAGGAGCTTGTCTCACACAACGTGCCTTTTCCAAAAGATCTGTGTGGTGTTAAGGCTAAACATGGCAAACTAAGCAAGTTTTAAACCTGGGTTGATCTAGACTAAGGTCAAATCTTTGGAATATTACAATAGCTTTACACCGAGCTGGAAAATGTCTGACAGCAACAACAGCACCACTTCCATGTAGTTTTTTCTACAAAGCTACTCACACAAAATATTTTTGTGTTTCTTAGGATATTTTTCATTGAAAATTGCAACAGGAAATCTGCCGATTTGTCACAAATATTCTATTTTCAAAATTTGAAGCGAGGAAATGAAATCTCCTGGTCAGGCATAAAACAAACAAAACAAACAAACAACATTTGTATACCAGCCAGTATTAATCCCCGCCAGGGGGGATGACCGGTCCATGAACTTTTCTACGCCAAACGTCTCAATCTCTCGCCATATCTCTCGTTATACCCATCGCCTTCATATCACTGTTCACAGCATCCATCCATCTCTTTCTCGGTCTACCTCGTTTGCGGACTCCATCAACATTCATATGCAACATTCTACAAATTTCAGCACTTTCTTCCCTCCTTTCCACATGCCCAAACCACCTCAAACGCTGGCGCCTTACCCAATTCTCGATACATTCAACACCAACTCTTTCTCTAATCTCTTCACTTCAAATCCTATCCATCAACGTTACACCACACATCATCCTTTCCGTCGACGCCAATCTTCTTAGGTCCTCTGCTTTCGGCGCCCAACAATCTGCTCCATATCCCAAAACACTTCTAACACATGCCTTGTACAATTCTCCCTTCTGCTTCAACAAAGTCGACTTTTCGCACAACATTCCCGACAACTCTCTAAAACTCCACCACGTTGCTTGAACTCTGGTCAGGCATAACATAATTTTAATTGATAGAAGAAAAAAATGCATCTTGTTCAATGTTCTGTTTTTTAATTTTGTAAGTTATTGGACACGAAGATATGACAAAGGATACAAGATTCAATGTTGGCACCAGCAATGAATCCAGACGTATCAAAGTTAATTCGGATAAACTTCCCCTGCAAACAAAACATTTTTTAGTGATTGCTGAAAACACAAAGTTTGATTTGAACAAGCAAAAATATGTACTTGTAAAACAATTAAAGAAGAATAAAATCAAATCTTCACTGCTTCCAATTCATAATGGACATATTTTGTCAGAAAAATCTTGCACGCAAAAACGTATGCTAATCATGTGCAGTTTTGACAAGATTGAAGCATATTTTTACAAAAATATCTAACACACTTACAAATCTAGAAGAATTATCATTCTTCACTGTCTTTGCATTACCAAATGCCTCCAAAATTGGATTTGCCTCAAGCAACTGTTTCTCAAGTTCAACCTAATAATGAAGAGAAAAATGATAAGTTCTTTCAAAAACTGATGAAAAAACTGCAATTTTCTTATATTTACATACTATTAGCCCATCTAACTATAGCTTTGTTCGTAATGAAATGAACACATTAACTCTAATTGCTAATTTTGGCTTAACTGAAATATCAAAAAGTCAAGATACATGTACCTACAAATTAATGTGCTTCCAATTTGCTTTGCAAATGTAGAGATTTCCAAAGTGAAATTGCTTTGGTAGACAATGAAACCGCATGTTAAAACATAGGCGGGCCAAAAATCAGTTAACGATTTTTATGCAATAAATTTATGTAAATAGCAAATATACTCCTTGATTAATGGGCGATGTTTCAACGTATGTAAGTATGGTCATTGCAGTCTCATATTTTGACAAGATTTGCAACTCTCAACACAAAATTACCAACCGTTAACAAAAAACTCTTTCACATGACTAAATCTCATAAGTAAATAACAAAACACGAAAAACAAATACATGTCTTTAATATGAAACAAATAATTTTACTATTTGTAGTTTTCTTAACATTGAAATTTATTTCCAGGGTTCGGATTAGCACATCGCAATTTGCAAATTACGAGCCAATTCTGTGCTTTAGTGAATCGAAGACGAATAAATTGCAAATCAGAATTTGAAAAAATACAATTAAAGCATAATTTTGACATTCTTTAAATGGAGATCTATAAAAAATGTAATTCAATACGCCTGCCATTTATGCTTTGTCCGTTTAGCAACGAATGCTCCATTGAAATATAAATAACCAGAACATTGTCGTTCTAAATATAGCACAGTACACTTTGTCAGATTTTGTATAGTTGACGCTGAAACTTTGAATATTTTGATGTGAAAGAAGTTTGCATTAACTGCTTTTACATTTAACATTCAACATATCATTTTCTGGTGTGTTACATTAATGAGTCAAATATAGACCGTGGTAAAATATTATGAGACGAAAGCTAATAAATTTTTTTCAAATCTTTTAATCCTTTGCCTGAAGATTGTGTTAAACTATACGTTTGGCTTATTGATCCATATCAAAATTGCTTCGACCAGATTATCTGGATGATTGTTTTGCTGTTATTTTCCACTGCTGTTTTGCAAAATTTCAAACATAGGCATGTGTATGAGCAATGTTACAGCCAGAATTATAATATAAAATTTCAGAAGATGCACGCTTTAAAAAGTTGCAAATTGATTTTTTTCTCCTAATTCGAGCCCTGATTTCTATTAATATAAAAAATGCAAATGTGTTTAGGGATCGTAGCAAATACTTTCAAAACCTATCCTTTGGTCACTTATCTAAGCATTTGTCATATTTATGAATGCTCAAACGTATCAAAGATTGGCTTCAATTGTTTTTGAGTATACTCAGATCGGCTAAAGTTTTTTTCAATTGTTATCACATAAATTAGAAATGGAAAATCTGAATGCAAAACATAAAATCGGGAACGGTTCATAAAAGTTGCAAAACAATACATTAGTTATAACTCAGACTATGGATACTAATCAAATCTAAGAGATAATAACCTGTCCACTTGAAGCAGATGCAGCCTTGCTATGTCCTGCAACCGATGCCAAATATTGAATGACTTTCTTTGTGTTTTCTGTCTTTCCTGCTCCACTTTCCCCACTGGAACACAAGATAACAAAGGCAAACATTTACGTAATATGTTAAACTGAGAAAATAAATCTGGAATGGTAAATCAGAACATAAACTTACGTGCAAAGAATTGATTGGTTTTCACGCTCTACAAAGAAAGAAAAAAACAAATGAACATTATAACACAAAAAGTTCTATTATCTATTTCCAAAGAATATAAAACTGCTGGGAAAAAGCTATGGTTGTCCTGAAAGCACACAAAATTGCTTTGCTTGATACTTTTGATTTCACAAATGCAGAAAACACAGCAATCCTATGAACTACTTTCCTAAATAATAATTAATAATAACCATGACTACTAAGCCTGCATTTTCGTGTACTGTGAAGGTTGTACCATACATTTATGTTGACACAAGTCATGCCATATTTGTTAACAGTTTGGCCTTCTCAAACAAGACATTTGTTTATACAAAAATGTTGGGGGAAGAAAGCTGGAACATTTCATGAAAGGTGGTGATTATGGGTAGAAATGAAATCGAATGCCTAGTGTCATATTTTATGTTTTCAGACTAACAACTTGGCGACACGAAAACTTGTCACTTGACAAATCTCCTTGGCACAACTGCCCTTCTCTGCAGTTTGGGTATTAAGTATGTATGGTGTAGTTATTTTGATGTTCTTTGTTTAAAAATGTAGTATAAAACAAAAACATTATTTCAGAACTGCCAATGGCTTTATTTTCTTGCTACAAGATATACTAAATCAGCAAGATAATAAAAAAAAACACCAACAAAAATGAATTGGAATATACATGTTTATATAAAGTGAACAACTTTTGATATGATTAAAACCACTGGCTGGGACTGAAAATAAAATTATATTCGTATTTCTTGGTTCAGTTGAATGCAATAAACAAATTAGTTGTTCGGGCTATTAGTAACAGATTTTTGAGCAGATTTGCAAAGGTGTTGTCAGTTTTACTGCTGTTAATAGAAGTATCATCATAACCTAATTTAAAAAACTCAAGATGTAAATCACATTAAGATCAATAGCCGACCAAATAAGAAATGCTCCATAAATCAACTTTCGACAACACAATGTAAAATGCAAATGAACAATTCCTGTGAGAGAAATCGTTACCAAAAAATACGCCCCGTAATGACACAAATAAAAGACAAAAAATTTCGAAAATGATGTCACAGGAAACAGAACTATTTTGACAATCTAATGCTGCCACACAAACACTGCCATTTTCGTTTCCGCTATAAACTTCAAAATCAAATGAATAAAAGTGTAAAATATCTGAAAGACAAATAACCCCAAATAAATATATATTGTATATTTGGACATAGTTTGTCAGGTAAGATAATTGCTAAAAGAATAGACTTGAATTAGAAATGTGCATTTGAATGTTAAACAATTTTCAGCCCAATATACTTAACTACATTCATAACAAACTAATCACGTCCATCATCGAATTTAAAAGTTGCCTTTAAAAGCAATATAATTTGCTGAATGATATCAATTAACCAAAGTATCAAGAAAAGTATATAATGTAAAAGTGCCCGAATTAAATATATGTAAACAAGTTAATGCATATTATTTGTTTAAATTAGCTTATCAGAAATATCGCGCACACCCTAATCGATCATGTTTCGTAGAAACAAGTATTTTCGACAAGAAATATTCTTATATGAATGGCACTGTGTGAGTCTGTGAGAAAGACCCTGAATTCTGACCGCAGTGACAAATTATAGCAAATTGCAATTAGAAGATCAATTTGTAATCGACAGTAAAACAATATACAATCAGATTCACTTTCGTACAATGCCAGTCCTTATCTTTATTAATTTGAAACTTACATAAAACGATATGCTTTGACTATGTAGATGTAACAAGGCTCAAAACAGCATGGGGAAATGACGTACAGAATTTAGCTGTCTAAAAATGTACTTTAAATGCTGGTGCCACGCCTGCCATCGGCAATGGAGCGACGTCAATTGTCTAAGTCGCGAAAATACTTAATACAATACAACATACGAAGTCAAAAATTTGTCACCAGCCATGGAATTACAAGAGCGAGGAATGTCTACGGCAGTTAATTAAAAGGGAATGTCAAGCATTTACAAACTAATAAGCAATTTTAATACCTTGAAGCATACTCCTGTATGCAGTGTCTGTAATTGCATAAACGTGTGGTGGCACTTCATGTCGTTTTTTTCCCTTGTACATTTCCACCACATTATCGGTATAGATAGGCAGCCTTTTGTAAGGGTTAACGACCACACAAAACAAACCGGAGTAGGTCTAAAACGATAAAAACATACAACAATTTTAGGATTATGGCAGCACTTTGATATTCGTTATTTGATGACATGAGTCACTTCCGGTTGGAAATTTTTGTTTGCCATGTCGCGAAAATTTGTATTGTTGCTGTTTAAAGAATGTTTTAAATTCGTCGAATAACAAAGTAACTTACATAGATTAATTCTGAATAATAACGATCCTTCAGATTGTGTAAAACGCTTGCTTCGTTGAGGCAAGTTAGTTCGGCCATGTCTTCGACCTTCTCGAATTTTGGTGGATTCATTTTCTGGATGTCATCCTTGCTAAACGTCTTTCGTTTGCCACCTGATAATTCAACAGTTATTTCATCGTTTTTCTCTTGTTTTACGCTTCCAGGGATAAATCCGTGTTCTTCGTCGGGCACCCAAACAAGTTTCTTCGCGCTCCATTCCGCTTGCAAAGTGGGGTCGCCAACACTTCGCCTGTCCACCGCTAAATATTTCATTTCGTTATCCATCTTCACAGGATTTTAGTAAACCAAGCACCTCTTCTTGCTACACTGTGCAAATGTAGGTTTTCTTATCAAAGCAGACTAACAATATACCCAAATTTAACTCAAATCAAAGTTGAACGTACATAAACACAGCTTCTCTTCAATTGAGAATGTTGCTGCATTCTCTTCTCGCTCCCTATTGGTTAATTAGGCATAGATCACGTGTCAAATACTAATGACGTCTGCATAAAATTATTTCAAGGTGTGGCGAAGTGTGGCGTAGCATATGTCCGCTATGAATGATACAACGTAAGTAAATCCGGGGGAAATCAAATGAACGGCAAAAGAATTGTTTTCAAGCACAGCAGAAAATAGTCATAGCCAAGATATATGCAGTAAAGGGTAAAAATTGAATTGATAATTATAAAATGCGACTCAAAACAAACCATTAGGGAATCAAAGTGGAGTAGACAATAATAAATAATCAAGTACTTCAAACTTCCGGAATTGTCATACACCATTATCTCCGTTGGTCCTCCTCCTTGAGAATGGACATGGTTTTGAAATTTGAGTTTATTGTTGTTTTGCACGCTGATGCTCATTCCACACCATACAAGATACAATGCATACATATTGTGCAAACTATACGCACTTTTTCAGGCTACACGCATGATGCAGGGTATATATCAAACGCTTCTAATAAGCAATTGAACATGCCCCCATAAATCGAACTTACTCATAAGCAAATCGAAGTTACGACACAAAAACAAATCGATCTGTAAATTACAGTAATTTGTATCCTGACATTATAATTTTAAATTAATCCCAGGTAGAGGCCAAAAAAATCGCTGTTAAAAAATCACTGTTAAAAAATCACTGGCGTTAGTTGGCCTTCGAATGTTGGAAAATGTTTTGTTTCTTTGGAAAATAAGTTATGCCAAGCAGTTCAGGTTTCCATAAAATTGTGATGGTGAAAGTGCGCAGTACTGGTTGATGAGACTTGAAAATTTCGACGATATTTTGATTTAGTTTTATTCACGGGTTTATGAGGCAGACGAAACTAGACAAAGGCTTATCGGTTTGACAAGTATTTTGTTAGAAGCCGTTCGAACACATAATTTTGGTGATAACTTTTCACAAAAAGCGATGCATGTTTCAAATCAAACAAAACGTCGACGCAGACCCAGTTTTATGGCTATCTGCATAAGCTTTCTTTCAAAATATTCTCTTAGTCTTCTTTTTTATTATTCCCTTCGCCTTGAAAAAATCCCCAGCTCTTCGTAGAACGACACTACCACCCGTAACCACCTCAATGTTTCACAGTGGGAATGGCGCTCTTTGAATTATATGCATTTATTTCCAAGTTTCTTCTTTCTCCATACGTAAGCTGCATCGTATTCATAAATTACCAGTTTTTTGTCATCTGATTAAAATATTCTTCCAGTACGTTGCAATACTGTTAAGGTTATTTCTGGAATATTTTAGTCTGGCTTGGAAGTCTTATAATTATTGTAAGAATGGGTTTTCGTTGCCCATAACTTAGCAGTCCATTGTAGTTTTTCTATGGTTTTTCAAGCACATTTGCCTAATTTTCTGAATTGTATTTGTTTCTTTGAATTCTGTAATATATTACTACTTAGCTACTACTGTTGTGGTCACCAGAAAATGCATGAATAGCTTTGTTTATCCATATTTGTTGCTTTTGACACCATAAACTGGCAAATCAGATCGTTCACAGGAATTTTTGAACCGTTTGAATTGTCCATTGATATGCTTATTAAATGGATCGTGCATCCCCAATATCGTTAGTGCAAAAATTTGAAGCCGGAAGTAGACAGCTATAATAAGATGAACTAAATGGTTTGAACCCGGAAGTATCGTTACATGGTACATGTGTATACACATGTATACAGTGTATATGTTTACACATGTACAATGAGAAGGACTGTTTTTGTTGTTGTTGACTGACGAGTCAGGTTGACAAGGTTGTTGAAACGTCATTCAACAAAAACAAAAACAGTCCTTCTCAGGACTATACCAACCTGGACGATCTACATTTACAAACATGTATAATTAGATGCGCCGCCATATTAAACACATCCCACTCATAAGAATAATCTATAGTAAAGAACCACGATAGCAATGAGTTTTTGAGCGCATTGTACTTATACGGCCAAAAATAGCGTAACTAGGGTATTCTTAATCACCCCGTGCGTTATTCTGAGACATTCTCTATGGTTTGTACCTCAAAAGTTATTCACAATAGAGTCATTCACATTAATATCACCAATACGTTGTGTTTTTGTTTTACTTAAGACAAGTAATTTGCTAGAAGTTTGAAGTACTCGTAGCGCTCCTGCACTTGTATAACATTTTCCACTTAATGATATTCGGTAGAATCCATCGGTTTCGATGGTGATTGTAGAAGAATCTGTTTCACCTTTTTCCCACATCGCGACATTGGTGCAATCTGAACCTCTTTTTCCAGTGATTGAAGTACCAACTTCAGTGTACACATCTACTGGAATTTCTAGTCGTTTTTTATGCTTTTCACGTCTTCTATGATATTTTACACGACGGGCGTGGTGGTTTTTTGCCGGACGTATCAAAGCTTCGAGAGCCTCACGCGTAGGTTTATCTACGTCTAAATAGTTCCAGGAAGATATGACTATTTTTTCAGCATTAGAATTATATTCTAGTTGGAATTTTTCAAAATTTTTCTCTCTATTTCGTCGTAAGTATACTTCAACTGCTCGGCGAAAAAGATCGTTTGTTGATTCAAATTCATGAACCTAAGTCTTAGATGCGTTAGACATTGTAATTCTATATATATTATAAAAATATTTGTTAGTCTATTAAGAATATTCTAAATAATGTACTTGATATTTTCGCGTCCAGTTAACAGGTATTGTATTAACTCACGCTTTAAGATTATTAGTGTTGTTATGTACGAAAGTAACATAGGGTCCTCAATTTTGTTGAAATACGGTGGATCTAATATTAAGCAACTCGTGTTGAGACCGTTTAAACCAAATGTTTAATAATGCTATTTTATTATTTTCGAGTGTTTTTCCGGTAGGAAACTTTACTAAAGTTATATTTGTTCCTCTCATACCTGGGCGGTAGAATCCAGTAGGAGAGTTTAAAACAGATTGATCTCCTTGGTCTCCTTTAAGCCCATCAGCTCCTGGTTGCCCTTGAGGTCCTTGACGTCCTGAAAGCCCTTGAGGCCCTGAGGCTCCAGTATCTCCTTTAGGCCCTCGAGGCCCTTGAGCTCCTGTGGCCCCGGGCGCACCTTCGCTTCTATTGGTCCCATCAGTTCCGTCATCTCCTCTAGGACCCTCATCACCTTTCTCTCCCTTTGGTCCTCTAAGACACGTATCTCCTTGAGCCCCTGTAGCCCCTGTAGTTCCTTTATCACCTTTTTCTCCCTTTGGTCTTCTAGGACCCGTATCTCCTTGAGCCCCCGCAGCTCTTGTGTCACCTTTATCTCCCTTAATTCCTCTAGGGCCTCTAGGCCTTGGTGTTCCTGGTTTTCCAGATCCATAACCATCATAAGTCCCACCGGTTACTAATGTTGCCATTAGGTTGATGCGATGTTTAGTTTGATACAATGTTTAGTTTGATGCGACGTTTAGTTTGATGCGACGTTTATATGCCTACTATATATAATAGAAAAGTTTTTTAATTACTGGATTTATATTTGATCGCGATAGAAATTTATGACGAGCCTCCAGCCAGACCCGCAATTTTTATGAAAGCTTGAGCTTCAACTTCACGGCGTGCGCTTTCAGGAGCGGCGGCAACAGCTTCTTCTTTTTCACGCTCTAAGTTCTTATTTGTCTTTTTCATCTCTTTGAGTAGAGAAGCTACATGGGCATCCTGTTTCTTTCGCATCGGAGTGTCGAATTCATCTTGAATAACGCGTTTACGCTCGGCAAAACGCCGCATTTGATCTAGAACCTGTTTAAACTCTTCATGTGAGACTCGGCTGCCACTTAGATCACGTGACGTAATATCACCAACAGTCATCAGAATCGTCGCAGCAGCTTGGGCTATGCGGTCGTGCTTTTTAGCCTTTTCTCGAGCTTTTTACAAACAACACGCCCAACACCTGAGATCAACCCGCTTGCTACAGCAAGAGCTTCAAGAGCGGCTCCAGCCGGGGCGCCGACACCAGATAGAGTGAGAGCAATACCTCCAGTTCCTGTCACGACTGTAAATGCGCTCGATGCAGCAGATAAGGTGCCGAGTGTTGAAATAATACGCGTCTATTTCTTACGCAGCTTATGATGAACGTCACGCTCTTGGCGGATCTCTTCCTCAATGTTTGAAATGCGAACAAGGCAAAAGTTGCTCGTTTCGATTTATGAAGGGGGTGAAAGAACGTCTACTGGCTCGACTGGAGGTGCGCTTGCAGTTGCCATTTTATGGCAGTGCCATATATAGATGCAGAAAAAATTGGTCTGTTATTATATGATAATTACTTTGATGATTAGTCTGATGATAGGTCTGGTGTGATATGGAACTCATAAATTTCGACCTACTGACCACTAAAAAATTAAAGCGCCAACATTGGATGATGCCCGAAAGCCATTAACTGATCGTAGGCCCTACTAATTCCGGTAAAACAAACCTTTTAATTAACATGATTATGCGTTGGCTTGATTGCCCTAAATTAACTAATTACACAACAAGTCGCGACCAGGAAAAATATCAGATTCTATCAGAGTTCTACGAAAGCATCGGCCTGGAAGAATGTGTTGAATTAAGAGAGCCTGATGATGTAATTCCAGTAGAGGAGTTGAACATTAATCCCGAGACAGTAGTCTTTGACGATATTCGGCTCGATTGAAAAAGCTTAAACCCAATCAAAGAGTATTTCTCTTCAAGTCGACATAAGAATGTCACAGACATATACTTAGCGCAAAGCTACTATGACGTCCCCAAGTATATTCGACGAAATACCGGCTGTATTGTGCTTATAAGAGGTCTTAACCAGCGCGACGTGAGAGAAATCACTACTGACCTGGCTGATGGTATTACAAAAGAGCAGCTAGCGGCGGTTTACCATGAAGCCACTGAAAAGAAGTACGACTACTTTGTAATCGATCGTACTGCAGAGGAGGTACCTATTCGCTATCGGAAGCGTTTTGACGTAATTCTGGTAGCCCCGAAGTGGTAATTCATTCTTTGAAG